TTAAGTAGCACTCTGACCTCAGAATCAGCTCTTAAGGCATCCTGGCGTGGCTGAAAAGCCCATGAGAGCATTTCAGTCATGGAAAGCCAAGAAGATGTGGCAAAAAATGTTCTACATGAAGGCTCTCTGTGAGTGAGACCTCAGTGGAAAGAAGTGGCCATCACAGAAGGATGTACTTTTCCCTAAAGGGAGGCGAGAACTTCCACTTTGCTTATGGCCTTGTCTAAATACTGACAGAGTTTGTGGATTCAAAAGGCTTCCATAGCCTTGGCAGCTCATACCAAGTGCCTCTGGTGGTCATACATAAGAGTGTTAATTGTTAAATTAACAACAGGAGTCACTGTGCACTAACTCCCCATGCAGGACCTCTATCCTTAATGAATTGAATTATGAGTTAACTGTAAAACTTTTTCTGTCTGTGTGTGTGTGTGTGTGTGCAAATTGTTGAAATCTTTACTTAGTATAGAGTTGGTCTTTTGTGTACAAAGTTAATTGAAGATGAATCTTAATAGAGACTGGGACTGGGAAGGAGAGAGGCAGGAGAAGGAGGGGTGGGAGTGTGGGTGGGAGGGCAGGTATAGTGGGAAAAATAACTATATTCCTAAAGTTGTACTTGTGAAATTTGTACTCATTAAATAAAAAGTTTCTTTGAAAAACAAGAGTGCTTTTCCACTTCAAATCCCTAATTCAAAATCACTTTTTGTGTCACCACAAATTCAACATGTTGTCATTGGACATGGTGCCACTTCACATTAATATTTCAGCAAAATGCCCAAGGGAAAATATGTAATTTTTTCTTAATATGTTAATGATTTTATTATTTGATACTGTAACAGTTAATATACATTGAATGTAGGACATTATAGAGAAAAACTTTGTTTAAATGTAATGATATTAAAAATGCTTAGTTTTTATGATAAACCAAAATTTTTTAGATAGCCAAAAATCAAAATACAAATAAAGAGTTAAAGATTTCAGGGGCATGGCACTGTAGTGTAGTGGTTAAACTGCTGCTTGCCACACCAGCATCCTATGTCAGAGTGCTGATTTGAGTCCTAGCTGCTATGCTTCCAATCCAACTTCCTATTAATGTGCCTGGGAAAAGCAGTGGAAGAGGGTTCAGGAACTTGGGCCCTTGTCACCTGCATGGGAGACTTAGATGGACCACCTGACACCTGGCTTCAGCCTGGCCCAGCCCTGGCTGTTGTAGCCATTTGGGGAGTGAACCAGTGGATAGAAAATTCTCTGTGTCTCTCCTTTTCTCTGTCACTCTGCCTTTTACGTAAATATTTTAAACATAAAGATTCTAATTATTACACAATCTTCATTCCAGATTGCAAAACAACAAAAACTTCCTATTAAAATAAATGGTCATTATTTGCTTCTGATTTATCATGGATTCCTCTTCTGTGCCTGGTTTATTAAAGATTCTTAATGTTCAAAGGAAAATTTCCTGTGTGTTGCTCCCCGTCTTCGTGGAGGAACGACACAGGACCCTGCGCTGTTCTTTTGTCTGCTCGGCCCTCCCCGGGTTTGCTGCTGGTTCTTCCCGGGTTGGCTACTGTCCCTTCCACCTCCATGGAAGGGCGGTTCCCCCTGCCACTTTCCCCACTTCCGCGGGGGAGCGGCACACTGCCGGCCGGCTCTCTCGGGGGCTGCTCAGATGTTCCTCAGGTGTTCCCCTTAGATGTTCCTGGTGCATGTTGTCTCTCTCCTCCTTTATAGTCCTCTTCCGCCAATCCCAACTCTGCTACCCACACGCCGAGTACGCTGCTCTCCTCCAATCAGGAGCAGGTCCTACAGTTTATTGGCTGAACTGGAGGCAGCTGTGTAGAAGCTGTTTACTCCCTTCTCAGCGCCATATTGTGGGAGAGCAGATGCATAGAATAAGTCTTAATTCCAGTAACTTAGTCTAGTCTGAGTTGCTCCCCACACCTGTGTACATAAATGCCACTCTGAAATACTGTTTTATTAATCCTTATATAGCCAGAGGCAGCTGAAGGAAATGTAGCATCTAAAAATTCCAAGTCTGATGGAAGCATTTAGCCCAACAGTTAAGATGCCCATATCATACATGAGAATGCCTGGGTTCTACTCCCAGCTCCTGCTCTTGACTCCAGCTTCCTATCAATGCAGATTGTGGGTAAAAACAGTGACGGCTCAAGTAACTGGGTTAATGCCACTCACGTGGGAGACCTAGATTATGTCCCTTGTTCCTGGCTCAGGTCATAGTGGGCACTTGGAAAATGAACCAATGCATGGCAACTCTATCTCTCCCTCTCCAATCAATAAAAAATAATTTTCATTTTACTTCTTATATTTTCATATTCTTTGAAAGGCAGGGGGTAAAGGGTAAAGAGAGGCACAGACAGACAGGTCTTCCATCTGCTGGTACACTCTTCAAATGTCCACAACAGCCAGGGCTGGGCCAGGCTGAAGTCAGAAACCCACAACTCCATCTGGGTCTCACCTGTGGATGACAGGGACCCAAGTACCTGAGCCTTCATCTGGGTCTCACCTGTGGATGACAGGGACCCAAGTACCTGAACCTTCATCTGCTGCTTCCCAGGATACGCATTAGAAGGAAGTTGGATCAGAAGCAGAGGAGCCAGGTCTGTGGATATGGGATGTGCATGTACCAAGCAGCAACAAAGTGTTGCACCAAACACCTGCCCCAATAAAAAATAATTTTAAAAAATTACAAATCTGCATAAAACATACCTCAATTAATCTAAATGGAATTTTTGAGATAGGGCACTTATTAAAATACAACCCTAACTTCAAATTCTGTAAACTATCTCAAATGCTATACCAGTATTAAAAAGAAATCACACACAATACATTTGTTACATGAGTTAAATCTGCAGATCTTGCAGATGATATTATTCATCTCTTATTTCCATGAATTTGTCCTAAAATATTTAGTAATAAAGAACATTTCAAAAGGATATTAGAGAGAAATGAATCAAAATTGCAACAACTAGAATTGTTCAAAATAAAAACAACACTTCATTTATTTGCTAATAAGGCTGTGAAAATATTATTTTCTCATTAATTCTTCCTTTATCCTTCATTAAAGACATTTTTGTTTCTTTAGGCAGCACAGTGAGGATTAATGCCACAGGCCTGACCACAGTGCCCTGTGAGAAAATGTGGCTTCCAGGAGTCATACCTTGCAACCCCAAATTGGCTCTGCATGATTGATTTTAAAGTATGCATTAGCATTCTTCCTGAAACAAGGCTGGATACCTCCGAGAACATTCGCATTTAACCTTGTGAGTGCACTTCTACAGAAACTGAGCTGCCAAGGGAAAAATCAGTGTAATATAAGGAATTAATTAAGTCAGGCTGGAAAGTCTAGTATCGAAATAAAACAAAATCAACATGTATCTAAAGGGATAAGGATAGATGCATTACATATACTTAATGGCTTTTCTAAATGACTCCCAACAAAAGCATTCATCTAAGCACTTTTAACGCTGCCTCATTTTATAGTTTTGTTGTACTTGAGATTCTGATGTTTACCTAATAGAAAGTCTGACAAAATAGACTTTTTTCCAGTCATGGTCATAATTGAAGCATTATACAATAGTGGGCTTTAAATTATGTATGGGTGGAAAAGTAGAAGACTGAAACCAAGATATATTCAGAAAAATATAATCATGTGTCAAAACTGCTCAAAAAGAGAGGAAGGACTTGAGCACTTGCATGTAACCTCTCCCACCCACCATTTCCAAAGACTTGCCCACCCTGACCCCTTGTTTCTGGGAGATCCAGATTGGAAGGAGCCTAGCACCTTATTTCTTGAGAAGATGAACTCTTAACTACAAAAGTGCAGAATGGAAGTCTTCAGGTGCACACTCACTATGACTACACTATTCAAATATAACAATCATTCAGATACATAAATCCTGAGAGAAAAGGTGAGCCAATGTTTTCAAAATTCATACTCCCATTTAGCCAGTTTATGGCGCTTCTTTCTAGGGAAGTTTTCTTCAATCAAAATACAGCAGCCTTGTAGAAGCCCTGCTGGAGATCCACCCAGCATGCTAACTAAGGCTTACTGCTCCCAGAATCCGGAATGACAAAATATGATCTATGGTGTGAGCCGACAGCCCAGGAGTAAGCAAAAAATTCTGAGTTCAATCTCTTTTCCTACCATGTTTACAGAATAATACGGATCAAGTATTTTACCCTGTAAATTGCTGAAGATCTCTGTGAACTGTTGAATAGCAAAAACAGAGTAGAAGTGTCTAAATAGTAAATTTCTACCATAATTAGCCTTTAGTAATTGCAATGTTAAGTTCTTTCTAAAAAAAAATTACTTCCACATTCTTTACATGCCTCTACCATGTCAAGATGAACAGATCAAAAGTATAACAAAATCAACATTATTTTTAGCCTACGAACTAAGATGTCTCCAAATGAGAAGACAGCTGTCTGTTTTGTAAATTACCATAAGCCATCTTTTAAATTAATATGATACAGAAGTTCTCAGTACTAAGCAGAAAGATCATAAGGATGGCTAAATTTCATCTTAAATTCCCAGTAACACTAAACCAATTTTAAGAACATGAATAGGACAGACTAAAACTAAAATATGCAAAGGGAATTTTAAAAAATCAGAATCATTGAGAAACTTTTAAGAGAACTGTTCCCACAAAACTTGAAAAGGGAATAGAGTCTGATTAATGAAATCACTGTGAGTCCTGGGACATATGTTCTCTCATGTCTATAATGAAAAGACTTCCAGTGCAGTCAAATAATAAATACATGGGAAATCTAAGATTAAGGTTGTAATTGTGAATATTTTATATTTAGTAGAGTAAAAAGTCATAGGTAAGGAGAATTCCTTCTTGCTTTTCTTCTTTGGCAACCACTAAAACTTTATTCAGGAAAACTAAGTTATTTCAAAAAAAGAGGCATTCAGTTCTGGAGTAATTTGGTAGATTTATATGTGCAAAAATTAGAAATCACTTGATACATCTATAATACACAAATACATATATAAACATTTTATTTTAATAATACTCTTTTATCACTTCAATTTAAATCATTCCATTATGAAAATGTCTTAATTGAAGAGAGAATATTTCTTCAAAACTCTAAATTAAACAGAGCTTTATCAATTAAATTTACAACAATACAACCTTTAGAAATATGTAATTCTTCATTTGACAATAATACTTCCCATTAAAAATTTGTCATGGTTTGTCACAGATTTAAAATACAAGGCACCTAATACTATTAAAAGATAATACAGTATATGTAGTGTAAGTGAACCAGATCTGTTCTCAAATATTTATTCTCTTTAAATTTCCATCAAATTTGCATGAACATACTTGTTGCATAAATTAGACAATTTTTCCTGTGTAGTTAATTTGCAATATTTTACAATACCAAAAAATATAATCCGTACCTATTGCAGCCAGCTTATCTTAACATTTTTCCTGTCAGAAACACTGATCTACATAAATGATTACTTGAAAATATTTCCATAACACAGTCCAGCATCTAATAAACATGAAAATAACATTAGGATTTTATTCCTTGATTAGTTTAATTGATTTCACCAGCTGAATTTCTTGGGACGTGTAAGGCAGGTTGGTCCTGTAGATGGACTATGGACTAGAACTTCCTACCATTGTTTTGATATGTATACAGCTACATAGCAAAGTACTTCATTATGAAAATGAAGAAAACAGATATGAGGAAAATATATTTTAGAGTTTCAAAGAACTGAAACTGTTATTTTTCAGACTAGGCACTGAAACACTTTTCTACAAAAACTTGCCAGAGATTGTCTCTTCGCCGTATAACGTTCCATGATCAAGCTAAAAACAAAAAACACAGACAAATGATTAGATTCTGATTTCCATAGTTTTGATTTTTGAGTTCTACAGCAATGTCAAAGGCTGACATTCAACACTATAAGTGCTTACAGACTGTGTCTTAGCAGTGTGTATTACTGGTATGTTTCACTATTACACCTACAAGAGACAAAGACTGCTGCCCAACCTGCTCTGCTCTACACTCCTCTACTACAATCGATTGTCTTGAGTCTTTACTATCTCCCCTTTGTCCAACTCTCACTTCCAGAAATACTGAAACTTTGCCTAGGTTGGGGTGGGTTTGAGCATGACCCTGGGAATAATGCACAGCATGCTATGAAAAGATGCTGCATAAATTATAGTATTTAAAAACTTTAAAAATAATTGTATTTATAGTTGTGTATTTAAAGATTTTAGTATGTATTCATTCATTTATTTATTTGAAAGGCAGAGTGACAGAGAGAGATCTTGCAACTGCTGGTTCACTCCCCAGCTGCCTGCAACAGCCAGGGCTGGACCAGCCCAAAGCCTGGAATTCCATTCGGGTCTCTCAGGTGGGTAATGGAAATCCAAGTATTTGGGAAATCACCTGCTGCTTCCCAGGTGCATTAACAGGAAGCTGGATTGGAAGTGGGTGTGGGACTCAATCCTAGATATTCTGATATGGGATATGGGCATCCCAAAATGGTGGCTTAAACCACTGTACCACAACACACTTTCCAATTTTTTTTAAAAAAACTTAAGAATGGCAAATAAACACAGACTTAGCTTCACTCTTTTCTGAAAAGCTCATTAAGAAGGCAATGAAGGGATTATTTTTTTCCTAAAAGAAATAAACCAGAGTTCAGTAGTTAGAAACCACCTGAGATGGCCACATTCTATATGGAAGTGTGTGGGTTAGAGTTCTAGGTCTACTTCTTTTTTTTTTTTTTTTAACTTTTATTTAATGAATATAAATTTCCAAAGTACAGCTTATGGATTACAATGGCTTCCCCCCCATAACATCCCTCCCACCCATAACCCTCCCCTTTCCCACTCCCTCTCCCCTTCCATTCACATCAAGATTCATTTTCAATTCTCTTTATATACAGAAGATCAGTTTAGCATACATTAAGTAAAGATTTCAACAGTTTGCTCCCACACAGAAACATAAAGTGAAACATACTGTTTGAGTACTAGTTATAGCATTAAATCTCAATGTACAGCACACTAAGGACAGAGATCCTACTTGAGTAAGTGCACAGTGACTCCTGTTGTTGACTTAACAAATTGACACTCTTGTTTATGGCATCAGTAATCACCCTAGGCTCTTGTCATGAGCTGCCAAGGCTACGGAAGCCCTCTGAGTTCTAGGTCTACTTCTGATTTCAGCTTGCTGCTAATGCACATCCTGGGAGTTATGGCTCAAGTTAGTTATGGTTCAAGGAGCAGAGCCCCTGATATCCACACAGGAGACCTGGGTTGAATTCCTAGCTCTTGGCTTTGACGTGGCCCAGCCCTCAGCTATTGCAGGCATCTAAGGAATGAAGCAGCAGATGGAAGACCTCTCTGTTTTCATCTCTGTCTCTCTGCCTTTCAAAAAAATTCATAAATAATTTAAAATAAAAGGAATAAACTACACAGACTGAGAAGATCAGAGAGCTAAGAAGAGAGCTGTCAACTTTAGCACATAAGGGAGAAATACCACTTGGAAGAATGAGGAAACAACTAAAAAATATAATATTGGTACCAAGTGTATAGAAAAACCTTGGAGGTACGCAGGTGCCCTCCCCTTACATTTCGCAGATGGTCAAGTGTCTTCTCTCAGAAACTAAAAATGCTGGTAACAAAGGTTCTCTGGACTGGGGAAATACCAGGTAGAACCCTACATAGTTTCATTATAAGTAACGTTCATTTTGTCATAGCGATGTAAACCTTAAATATAGGTCTAGTAGAAATTATGCATTAATTATGATGGAATACAGAGGAGGTAGGCATGATGTAGATTAGAAAGGCAGGCATGTGGCATGGGAGCAGAGAAGGTTTAACTATTTTGGTGGAAAAGTCCACTGAAGATGCCCAAAAATGAAAACTAAAGAAACAGAAGCAAAAGCATGGTATTTACAGGGACAAGGAAGTAAATGCCAAAAGAATCAGCAAAAGCATTTAAATGATTTCTTCAGAATGGGAAAAGAATGAAAGCCTGAAGGGCAACACTAGGTAGGGCACAGCAGGACTAGCTGCTTTGAACAAGAAATCGCATGGAGCATTATAATGATGTACACGTAAGACCATCAGCACAGTAAAAACTAGATTAAAAAACAAAACCTAGAAATCAGTCTTAGGTTAGAGAGAAATTTACCATGAAGATAGTGAAATATAAGCTTCAAGACCAAGAGGAACACTAGAATGTAACAGGAGTTATTCAACAGTCTAGGCGGCAAGGGAAACCTGACTACAATCAGGAAACACTTCAATATAAATTGCCTAAAGATCTTTCACAAGGGACCTGCATCTCCATAATTCTGGTAACTTAATCTCTCATTCTAAATAAATAATAATTTTGTATATGCCAAAGATATGCTTACTTCAAGTATTCATTAGCAAATTATTAAATATCACCTACTCTGTCATCCCAGAAATATAAAAGATAGTATTTCTTATAATTTAAAAAAACGGGAAAATATTCTTGAAACATTTTAAATACAAAAGCACAGAGAATCAGGGAACAGATTGTGCTAGTTAGGCAAAACATACACATGCACAGAGAAAAGACTATATAACACATTTTTCTTAATTTTATAATCAGAGATAAAATATTTTTCTTAAGTATAATATTAAATAAAATTATGACCCTTAACATGAAAAAAAATACAAGTTTGGGGGCTGGTACTGTGGCATAGCGGGTAAAGCTGCTGCCTGCAGTGCCAACATCCCATATGGGTGCCAGTTCGAATCCCAGCTGCTACACTTCCCATCCAGCTCTCTGTTATGTCCTGGAAAGCAGGAGAAGATAGCCCAAATCCTTGGGCCCCTTCACGCACATGGGAGACCGGGAGGAAGCTCCTGGCTCCTGGCTTCTGATAGGCGCAGCTCTGGCAGTTGTGGCTATTTGGAAGTGAATCAGCAAATGGAAGACCTCTCTCTCTCTCTCTCTCTCTTTGTGCCTCTCCTTCTCTCTCTTGTGTAACTCTGCCTTTCAAATAAATAAATAAATCTTTTTAAAAATAAACTAGTTAAAATTTACTGGTCACTTAATTTGAGTTAGTCACTATTATGTGTACTCTAAATTTCCAAGAATTTAATGTTTCCAGTAACATTATGAGTGGGTTTCAATTTTGACCCCAATTCACAAATAAGCAAATTGAAACACAGAAGTAAAGCACTGGGGTTGAGTGGTTGGCATCCAGTTCAAGTCCTAGCTGCATTTCAATCCAGCTCCCTGCTAATGCACCTGGGAAAGCAGCAGCAGAAGGCTCAAATACTTAGGTCCCTGCTACCCACATGGGAGACCCAGATGGAATTCCAGGCTCTTGATTTCTGCTGAGTCCAGCTTCGGCCACTGTAGCCATTTGGGGAATGAAACAGTGGCTGGAAGATCTCTTTCTGTGCAACTCCATCTCTCTCTCTGACATTCAGCCTTTCAAATAAATAAATAAAATCTTTAAAAAAAAAAAAAAAAAAGAACCAGGATTGTTGTTGTGGGGACAGTGAGTTAAGCTGCTGCTGGGAATGCTGGCATCCCCTACTGAAGTGCTGGTTCAAATCTCTGCTGCTCCACTTCCAATCCAGCATTCCTGCTAATGTGCCTCAAAAGGCAACAGAAGATATCCCAAGCACTCGGGCTCCTGTACCCATGTAGGAGCAGGTGTTGCGGTCAGCAGGTTAAGCTGCTGCTTGCAACGCTGGCATCCCATATGAGCACTAGTTCAAGCCCCAGCTGCTCCACCTCTAATCCACACCCCTGCTAATGCACCTAGGAAAGCAGTAGAAGATGGCCCACATACTTGAGCCCCTGCCACCCATGTGGGAGATGTAGATTCCTGGTTTCAGGCTGGTCCAGCCCTGGCTGTTGGAGCCATTTGGGGGAAGTGAACCACCAAATCAAAGATCTTTCTCTATCACTCTGACTTTACATAAATAATAAATACATAAGAGAAAGAAAAAGAGAAAGAGGGGGGAAGGTTATACAGTTAGGACATGGAGAAGGTGGAATTGGAACACAGGCAGTTTGATTCCAGACTACTCTCTTAGCCTTTAGGTGAAATTGCCTCTTAAATAACCAATAATGGAACAAGAATAAGAATCTTATGCAACACTAATGCCAGCTTACATACAAACCTGGGCTCTAGGCAACAGCTAACTAGCTCCATCCTCCTGTGAAACACCATGCATAGGAATGAGGCTCTCACACTGTTCACTGTCTTCTGGAACTCTTAAGAAAAAAGCAATAGTTAAGGGCAGTTTTAGAGTTTTAAGGGAACCTTAAAAGTGATTTATTCTACTGGCAGAAGCTGTGAGGTCTGGATGCAAGTTACTGGCAGATCTAAAATGAAGCCAAGATTTCTTAACCTGTCCCAAGTTCTTTTTTATAGAACAATATAAAAAGCTTCCTCTCTTAAAAAGAAAGGAGTAGAGAAGAGAGAATTTGAGGCAATTCTATCATTCTATTATGAATTATATTCAAATCAATAAAGGTGTTCTCTATTTAAATAACATTATAGCAAAACAGTAAATACTCTAGTTCTACCTGTAAATCAAAACACTTTTTCTGAAGTGTAGCAATGAAAAAACTCTTACCACCTAAAGGATCTGAGCAGATTACTTTATTTTTATCTAGCATAACACAGAGATCATGTGTAATCTTTCAGTAATTCCTCACAGGCTAGCACGATCTGATTTTCAGTTTACTTAGCAAACATTATTTTTTAAAAACCTACAGTGGAAATCAACCTACCTCTGAATTCGATGTTTTCTGCATATAAAAGCAAAAATTCTTCTGATTCCTACCATCACGGGATCCCAATTATTATAATGGCATAGGAGAGTTACAATAAAAAATGAAAAAAATACTGGGATAGCGCCTGCAAAAAATAACCAAGAAAACTGCACCTAAAAATGAAAGATAGGGAAAAAAATCAGACCTGCAATTATCACTGAGGAAAATTTCCCCTTTAATATAACTTTCCTATTTACAAAAACTAACAGAAATGTTAAAACATCAAGAGGATAATACTCAGCATTGAAAACATATTATTAATTATGTTATCATTAAATATAAGAACCCAGGAGTTCAATTACCTAAATAATCAACAATATTTTCTGCTTGGAAAATAGGCTAAAGAAAAGGCCAGGTAGCCTTCATTTACTTCACGGAGTACACTGAAAACAGGATCATCTACTGTGAAGCTACTGTCTTGCACACACATCACCATCTCTTCTTGCTTGTCACTGCCTATTCCCTCCCCCTCAGTTCCTGAACTCATCTTCAAAAACCTTACATTAAAAAAAAAATGTCATAGTTGTGTTATTATTGTGTTACATTATGGTTCTTTGTTAAAGATAGTACTAAAAGCAAGCAAAACCTCAAGTGCAACTTTTGTGAACCTCTTAGTTTTTTTTTTTTTTTTTAAGATTTAATTTATTTATTTAAGAGGTAGAGTTACAGACAGTGAGAGGGAGAGACAGAGAGAGAGGTCTGCCTTCCATTGGATCACTCCCCAGATGGCCGCAACGGCTGGAGTGGCGCCAATCCGAAGCCAGGAGCAAGGTGCTTCTTCCCAGTCTCCCATGCGGGTGCGGGGGTCCAGGCACTTGGGCCATTTTTTCCTGCTTTTCCAGGCCACAGCAGAGAGCTGGATTGGAAGAGGGGCAGCCGGGACTAGAACCAGCGCCCATATGGGATGATGGTGCTGCAGGCTGAGGATTAACCTATTGTGCCACGGTGCTGGCCCCTGTGAACCTCTTATTAACAATTCTATCAAAGACACTTGAAACTATGAAACAAGTTAAAAATGAAATAATGACCAAGCAAAATAATGAAAATACATAGGAATATTTACTAAGGAATGTTAGAGAAGACAAGCCTCAGAACAGAAGAGCCCTCTGATGTCACCAAGTCTGATCTTCTAATTCATTTATCATGGTTGTCAAGAAAATTCAAAATAATGAGATGATACAGTTATCAAAAAAATTCTTCCCTTTTGACTAGTTTACCTTTACCATCTATATTCAACTAATGGTTAAAAACAATTGCCAAAGAAACCTGTACTGATTAACTATTGAGAATTTTGGGAGACATCTTGTTAGTGTGCTTTAAAAATAATGATGGGAATAGGCCATTTAGGCTAGCAGCTAAGACCCCCTATCATGGTACCTGGTTTTGATACTAAGCTACAGCTCCTGACTCCAACTTCCTGCTAATGCAGACCATGGGAGGCAACAGTAATGGCTCAAGAAACTTAGCTTCAGCCTCTCATATGGAAGACCTGGATTGAGTTTCCCACTTTTGGCTTTAGCCCTGGTCCCACTCCAACATCAACCATGTAGGCATTTATGGAGTCAATCAATGGATGAGGGTGTTCTCTGACTCTGGCTCCCAAGTAAATAAATATAATAATGGAAATAATAACTCCTTCTGTCTTTAAGATAGGGAAGGGCCGGCGCCATGGCTCAATAGGCTAATCCTCCACCTTGCGGCGCCGGCACACCGGGTTCTAGTCCCGGTTGGGGCGCCGGATTCTGTCCCGGTTGCCCCTCTTCCAGGCCAGCTCTCTGCTATGGCCAGGGAGTGCAGTGGAGGATGGCCCAGGTGCTTGGGCCCTGCACCCCATGGGAGACCAGGAAAAGCACCTGGCTCCTGGCTCCTGCCAGGATCAGCGCGGTGCGCCGGCTGCAGCGGCGGCCATTGGAGGGTGAACCAACGGCAAAGGAAGACCTTTCTCTCTCTGTCTCTCTCTCTCTCACTGTCCACTCTGCCTGTCAGGAAAAGATCAACATGAGATACACTATATGGGACGGAAACTGTGTGTTCTCTTTGACAGTTTGATGTTTTTAAGGAAGCTTAGAATTATACCCAAGACTCCCTCTGGTGGAAAACATATTTCATTTCAGAGTATCATTCATCAGATTAAAGGGGTTTTGTGAGAATGTCTTAATACAAGAATAATCACTTGGACAATTTTTCACATGCACACCTATTTGTATGGTACAGATACACAAAAGCTATCCCCCAAAAATAGCCATTAAGAGAAACTAAAAACCCTCTAGTTATCCATTAGTAGTATTTATAACATATTTACCAGAATATTTAATAATCTAGAGAAACCATGATACATTTAAATTATCCAAAACTATAAAAAGTGTGAAAAACTTATGAGAGCTAAAACTGTACATAGAGCTGATAGAATGACTTTGTGACTATTCAACTAAAAACCCTATTTTTTAAACTGAATAAAAGTAAAATTTATAAAGGTAGGGAGTGGACATATAGTTTAGTGGTTAAGAAGTCTCCAACCCCCATCAGAATAGCTGGGCTCCATTCCTGCACCTTGCTCCTGACTCCTGTTTCCTGCCAATACAGACCCCTACAATGATGGCTCAAATAATTGGATTCACCACTCAGAAGGGAGACCTGGATCATGTTCCAGATTACTGGCTTCAACCCTGGCCCAATCCCAGGCATTGCAGGCATTTGGGGAGTAAACTATCAGATGGGAGCTCTCTCTGTCTCTGACACGCTTAGCCTCTTAAATAAATAAAAACTTAAAAAATGTATAGAAGTAGATAATAAAGCCCTAGAAGATCTCTAAAAGCAAAGCTTATACTCAACAATGCAGTTATTTATGTCTTGGCTCATAAAACTTCTACTTTGATTACCAATAACCTATGAAGATAATTAAAAAATAATAAAGTCAGAAAAAAGGAAAATTGCTGAAGTAAACAAAAATTATTCTCTGATCCCTGAATATATCTTAATATAAATCTGAATCCATCAGAGATGCTTCCTACTGTATCAAATGCTTCTAGAATAAAATAGCTAATTTATGTCAAGTACAATAATGTTAATAAGTGCTAAAAATTCAGAAACTAAATGTATATTGGCTAATAAAAGCAAAAATGACCCATGAAGGTAGAAGATTTTTCTTCCTGAGTTTCTATTGTAGCTCTGATACACTCTGCTACTTTTTCCAGTATCTCCCTACCCTCAATCCCCCGCCAAAGGCCCAGTCTGCTCATTTAATTGGTTTCCCATTCTAGAGGTTCAGACAGTCCAAAAGACTGATTGGTTATTTTTTCTAATCAATTACATTTACATATATTTCCCCTTGTCTTCTCTCTTTTTTAATCTTAAAATACTTGATTAAACAAACTATAAAATCATGTAATAAAACCAGGTCTTCTATAACATTGAGTTTAAAAAATTCCCTAAAATTAGCCTTTATTTTCAATCAGCCAAAGCCTGTTTTTAAGTCAGTATGGTAAAGTTGACTTCCACATCTGTCTATTAGAATCTTGAAATATACAGTACTTCCCCAGTTTAATAGAATAATTTTGTTTGATATTCAGGATTATTATCCTGAGATAAGGAAGGACCTGGATGTTATTAAAATCTGTAAAAGAGTCTAATGAAGGAGGCAGGTGTTGTGGCACAGTGGGTTATGCAGCCACCTGGGATGCTCGTATCTCATACTGGAGTGCCTGATTCAAATCTCAGCTATCCTGCACTTTTTCAAAAATATATAATAAATCTTTTTTAAAAATGAATAAATAATATTCATTTACTTAAATGGCAGAGAGAGAGAAAAATCTTTTTGCTGGTCCAGTCTCTAAATGGCTGGAATGGGCAGGACTAGGCCAGGCCCAAGAAGCCAGAATTCGATTGGGTCCTCTCCATTGGTAGCAAGGGCCCAACTGATCTGCCAACGCCTTCCCAGGTGCATTAGCAGGATGCTGGAAGGAAAGCAGTGTGTCCTGGACTCAAACCAGCACTTAGTATGTGATGTCAAGTAGTGACTAATCCCACAATGCTGGCCTCTACTCTGCACTTAAAAAAAAAAAAAAAGGTTTATTTATTTGAAAAGCAAAGTTACAGGGTGGGGGAGAGGTTGCTTCCATCCTCAGTTTCACTCCCCAAATGGCTGCAACAGCCAGGGTTGAGCCAGGAGCTTCATCTGGGTCTCACACATGGATGCAGGGAATTGATCACTTGGGCCATATTCTTCTGCTTTCCCAGGTGCAGTAGCAGAGAGCTGTATCAGAAGTTGAGCAGCCAGTACTTGAACTGGCATCCATATGGGACACTGGCATTACAAGTAGCAGCTTAACCCACTTTGCCACAATACCAGCCCCTCCTCTGTACTTTGGATCCTGCTTCCTGCTTACACACCTAGGAGGCAGAAAATGTGGCTCAAATACTTGGGTTCCTGCCAACCATGTGGGAAACCCAAATGGAGTTCCTGGCTTTGGCCTGACCCAGCCCTGGCTGTTGTGGGAATTTGGGGAGTGAATCAACCAGTGGTACCTGGGTTTAACACTGAGCTCCAGCTCCTGACTCCAATTTCTTGCTAATGCAGACCATGTGAGGCAACAAGAAATTAAGTTCCAGCCACCCATATGGAAGTCCTGGATTGAGTTTCCCATTCTGGCTTCAGCCCTGGTCCCACTCCAACATCAGCTGCGTAGGCATTTATGGAGTGAATCAGTGGATGAGAGTGTCCTCTCATTCTCTCTCTGGCTCCCAAATGAATAAATTAAATAAATATAATGACAGAAACAATTACTCCTCCTATTTTTAAGGTAGAGAAGGAAAACTGTGTGTGTTCTATTTGACAGTTTGTTTTTTTAAGGAAGCTTGAACTTATACCCAAGAGAAGATCCTTCTCTGTCTTTCCCTCTCTGTTACTCTGCTTTCAAATAAATAAATCTTTTTAGAAAAATAATTTAATGATATATAATTTCAGTGTTATGTATACTTTATAATACACATTCACATTCTTTGAAAATACACAGTATATGAGACTTAATTGAGAAGAGCTCCATTCTTCAATCATGACAAATAAGTAAGAATTTACTGAACCATAAAACAAAAAGTTAAATGTAAGCACAAAACATTTTAAAAATACACATACTAGGCCGGCGCCCGCAGCTCAATAGGCTAATTAATCCTTCGCCTAGCGGCGCCGGCACACTGGGTTCTAGTCCTGGTCGGGGCGCCAGATTCTTTCCCGGTTGCCCCTCTTTCAGGCCAGCTCTCTGCTGTGGCCCAGGAAGGCAGTGGAGGATGGCCCAAGTGCTTGGGCCCTGCACCCCATGGGAGACCAGGAGAAGCACCTGGCTCCTGCCTTCGGATCAGCATGGTGTGCCAGCTGCAGCGCGCCGGCCGTGGTGGCCATTGGAGGGTGAACCAACGGCAAAAAGGAAGACCTTTCTCTCTGTCTCTCTCTCTCACTGTCCACTCTGCCTGTCAAAAAAAAAAAAAAAAAGAAAATAACATACCACGAAAAGAACACACATACTAGGGCTGGCGCCGCGGCTCACTAGGCTAATCCTCCGCCTTGCGGCACCAGCACACCGGGTTCTAGTCCCAGTTGGGGCGCCAGATTCTGTCCCGGTTGCCCCCCTTCCAGGCCAGCTCTCTGCTGTGGCCAGGGAGTGCAGTGAAGGATGGCCCAAGTGCTTGGGCCCTGCACCCCATGGGAGACCAGGAAAAGCACCTGGCTCCTGCCTTCGGATCAGCGCAGTGCGCCGGCCGCGGCGGCCATTGGAGGGTGAACCAACAGCAAAGGAAGACCTTTCTCTCTGTCTCTCTCTCTCACTGTCCACTCTGCCTGTTAAAAAAAAAAAAATGCACATACTATATTATCATTGAGAGTATTTTGCCTTTATCCTAAAAAACTACACAAAGGCCTAAAAAATAGCTACAAAATCTGATTATTACTTGTATACATTTGTATACCTTTGGACTTTCAAGTATTTCCTGCTTTAACTTACATTAAACCAGCACACACACACCTACACACACACACTTTTGTTACTTAGCACGGAGATTTGAAGCTTCAAAACACTATACTTCATGATAAATGCACTCCACCTTCCAACAGTAAGCAGTCACACCTCTTTCCTCCTACCAACCCTAGGGGCACTGACGAAACTCCTCCCTTCCAAACAGCTGGCAGAGACCTTGGTTTTTCTTTTCTGTGATGTTATCATTGCCAATGTTTATCACAAGAGTCCCCATGGCCAGACCAGGACTTCACAGATGAGGGAAGGAACACGTCCTCTACTAATTCCAGACAGAGATGAACATTCACTGAGAAACAAAATTATTCATGTGCTGCTCATATCTATAGTAGTATTAACACAGTGTTAAGGAACCTCTGAAGTTTATCTTAGAAATCAAAATACTACTACTTTATCATAAAATGTATCCCCTATTCTGTTCTAACACAAAAACACTTAGACCATAATAAGCTCAAAAACTGGAAAACTACATATAAAAATATTGCTGTTAAAATTTAGGGAAACATTGAAAAGTTTAAAAGTCAGGAAATAATGCATTTCTTTGATAATTTTTATAATTCTATGTACATCAAACACTTTGGGAGAAAATACATCAAGTTTTATTCATATTCATATCCTTTATAATTTAGTCATATTCCTTAGCTTTTTTAAAACCATATACTTAAAATATCTAGTAAGTAGTTTTCCTTACCTTTTGCATACACATGTCAGCTATAATGGACAGAGGTATTGTAAGGCTTAGTGCAAGTGTGCCTATCAATGATGAGGTAAGAAAGCAGCCCCTAAAAAAAAATTATACATTTCTACATTAAAAAAATAAAAGAACAAAAAAAAGCACTGAATAAAGACTTTTTACCCTAAATACAGGCTGAGAGACCAGTAGCAAAATTAAAGCTTAGGATGAGCTGAGACATAAAACATTGGATGATTCTCAAAGTTTATATTAAAAATGCAAATATATAAGTACAAAAAGTTCAAATACTTTATGCTGTTTTTAAGATTTGCTTACAGATAATTTTCAACTTTGGATGAATCGTTCATTACTTTTTTTTTTTTACAAAACTGTCAAACAGAGCTCTTAGAATTTTATGATATATAGCTAATGAAGAAAACAGTATTATTAAAATTGGATATTTCACACAGAGACTTTAAGACAGTGATAAGCCAACATGTGACTCTATCATCAAAGCAAAAATCTCACCCTCATGAAAACTAATAATGTGTTATTCTTTAGATTTGCCTAAGCATAAAAAAGAACTGAATATTTTAAAAGAATATTTCTTTGCTTTCTATTTTTCTAGCAATTGTCCAAATAGCTAATTTTTTTCCACTTGAACTATCAATAATGGTGTCAAATTTTGAAATATTAATCTGCATGTACTTTCGTTTACTTGAAGGAAAATACTACATGATATATAGAGAGATAATCCATTTATACAGACTTACAATTTGGATCTACAATAAAATGCATTCTGAGATAAAAACATAATATATATTATTAGGACCAAAAACTCATGAAAGTTATAGGCAAGTAAAGCTCTAGTTCAGTATATATTAGAATTAGCAATGCTGCTCTGCAAAAAGAGGTCATCTCTTTATAAAATAAGTATCCAAGATAGGCTTGACAACTGGTTCTTACTGACAAGGAAAGGAGAGCTCCAGTAGTGGTTCCTACCACTCATGGGCTGGTTCAGGGATCAAGTAAATCTTTTCCCTCAAATACAGGATATGTTCTTGGATATTTATAATCTTTGGTATATATAATATAAAATCAAAAGTCTGAGAGCATATTAAAACCTTGCTTGACTTAACCCAGCTTTTCTCTTTTTAGCTTATGGCTGACCCCTTCTATTACCAATAAATATTTCAGGTTAAAAAAGTTAAGCATCTAAAATGAATATAATAAAAGAGGGAAAGTGAATGAATAATAGATTCAGATATCAAAAAGTTTTAGAACAGCAAAGAAAAATATAAATTAGTATAATGTGAAGCAAATCTTTAAGTATTATACAAAAGGGAATAAGTATGCTAGATAGTGAGAAAAGTGACTACTCCCTTAACTGGGCAGGGTGAGAAAACAGTGTTACGACTTCTTGGAAAACAGGATCTCTGTTGTAGTGTTTAGCAAGGGAAAGCCAGTCACTGGTCTCAATTGATATGTAATACAATTCATTTAGGAGTTTATGAACAATTTGAATTTCTTTTTAAGTTTCTATTATATGGAAACAGGATTAAGTATAAAGCTCCATAGTTAAAAAAGTTTCTTAAACTCCATACATGATATTATGTTCTAATTTTTTAAACATGTTCCATATTATAATATCTAAGTATATTTTAACACTTCATACTAATCACCTCTTGCTTACTCATATCAAAGGTCCTAAAAATAGTATTATAACCAAAAATGCCTAGGAACCACGAGATATTCTAAAGACTTTTATGTAAGTAACATCCCATAGATTTTTCATTTAGAATTAATTAATTCAGACTTGTATACATAGCTCATAAATTTAGATGTCCATTAGAAAAGGATTACATTCATTTGCATAATACTCTACTTTCTATAACACTTTTACAAATTTAAGAACATTTTGATTTATTCATTCATTCATTCAACAAGTATTTATGGAGCTCCTTCTGTGTATGAACTACTACTCTATGCAATGGGCACACAAAAGTTAAAAAAAAAAGTTCCTATTCTAATGGAATTAATGTATTCACTTCTAAGAATTTATGGGTGAGCTCGTGCGTGTGTGTGTGTGTTGGGAGTTGCAGAGGAGGGGCCATTAGAAGACAGAAAAATAGTACTTAAACTATCCAAAAGTCAATAAATGAATAATAAATCACAGGAGAATAAAGAGCACATACCACAACCACAGGAACTCTGAGAGAACTGTTCCAATAAGGCCATTAATAATAATGCACATCAATACTACTTTATTTGGAAACTCAAAGTCCTCAAATCCGGTGTAATGAAGTAAAAAGAAACCAGGCCACAAGAGCAGCAGATTAAATAAACCTACAAAACCTAAACAGAAATAGAAGAAACACAACTTAAAATTGGGATTTATTTCAATTTTCCAAACTTGTAAGTCTATAATTAAAAAACATTAGATTTGCACAAAGAGTTTCAACAGGTTTCCTTAACTAGAACTTCTGCTGGTTTGGTTTGTTCTGAAGTCAGTCCTATGATTAACAAGCTCCACACTTGGAAAAAATTGTTATCCGGCAAGTGGTGATTACCACTCTTTGAGGTTCAACTATCCTCTTTATGTGGGGAGCAACTACTGTGGAACAAACCACTTCAAGGAATTCAAAGAGTTACTAACTTTATGAACTAACAATATGTCTTAGAACTTAAAAAACTGGTATGTGTTTGTTTATTCAAACTAAATTAATTGTGAGGAATTAGATGGCTTGCTTTCATGTTAAAGCATCTGTGCTAGGAACAACAGTGGAAGATTCCAAAGGAGATCCAATTTTTGGTTTCTGCCTGTCCAACATTCAAAAGCTAGTTGGTGATTACACATACAAGGATAACTCAACCAGTTCACAGGAAAATGTAAATAAAAGATATTTTATTTTGGTGGAAAATGTTATAATCCCATGATCAATTTTTTTCATAATATGTATTTTTCACAAACTTTTTAAAGACTCCTGGTATATACAAATAGCTGTTCAATGTACAATCTAAATGCAGACTGGCTGCTAAAACAGGAAGGCTATACGTGTAGTGCTAAAAGTCTGCTCTACAGTCTGACCATCCTGAGTTCCAATTCCCAGTCTACCATTCACTAGAAGTTGAAGTCTTATACAACAAGCAGAATCTCTTTTAAACCTTAGTTTTCCAATCTATAATAGTTAATTAGATTTCTGGGAAGCTGGAAGAAACACATAAAATATAGCACAGTACCTGGCATATGGTAAGTGCTTAATAAAGTTAGCTGTCATTATTATAGAAATTAAGTTTATATATGACTAACATACATATGAATGTAAAGACTGCAAAAATGATTATAATTTTATAGTAATTTGATTTTGCATTTCATTTTGTTTAACAGGTCTCCTATGAGAACCATGAGGTTAACTATAGAGGTTCCTTCAAAGAAAATTAAATGATAGTAGACATATATTTTATACTTCCTATATCACCTAAATAACCAGTTAGTATTTAGGGTACCTAGTTAAATATTCTTAACAAAGCTGAACACCATTCTCTATCTGCTCTCAAGATTCATGGCCACCCTCACTCTCTGAGGAACCATCTTGGAGAACAAAACAAGACTGCCTTTCCCAGAAGTTCCCATTGTCAGTGACTGGGGATGCACACACTGGCCCTCCTGGCCCTCATGGCTGTGAGGAGTGAGTAGTCATGTGGCCTGTTCCACCTCACATTTGCTACAAATTAGGTCAAACCTCAAATGTACTTGGGACTATGGTTCTTTCCCTTTCTCTGTTCTGCTTCCCTTACTTCCTAATCAGTTTTTCCTTCACCTCGTCCACCACCAATAAACAACCCACACCAAATCCTTATCTCATATCTTGCTTTAAGAAATCCAACTTAAGACAAAAAAAAAAAAAAAAAAACTAAATGACACATAAACATAAGGGACTCATGGCCTAAAATGTTTACATAACATCAAAAAGTTTTCTAATAATGACAAAAAAAATCAGCCTTTTTTTTTTATTTTATTTTTATTTTTTGACAGGCAGAGTGGACAGTGAGAGAGAGAGACAGAGAGAAAGGTCTTCCTTTTGCCGTTGGTTCACCCTCCAATGGCCGCCGCAGCCGGCGCGCTGCGGCCGGCGCACCGCGCTGATCCGATGGCAGGAGCCAGGAGCCAGGTGCTTTTCCTGGTCTCCCATGGGGTGCAGGGCCCAAGCACTTGGGCCATCCTCCACTGCACTCCCTGGCCACAGCAGAGGGCTGGCCTGGAAGAGGGGCAACCGGGAGAGAATCCGGCGCCCTGACCGGGACTAGAACCCGGTGTGCCGGTGCCGCTAGGCGGAGGATTAGCCTAGTGAGCCGCTGCGCCGGCCAAAATCAGCCATTATTAAGAATTAAATCTGGGACTGGCATTTTGGCACAGTAGATGCCTGAGACAACACCTGTGACACTGGGCTGGTTCCAGTCCCAGTTGCTCTGCTTACAATCCAGCTCCTTTGTAATGCACCTAGGAAGGCAGTGGAGGATGGTCCAAGTATTTGCCCTGACACCCCTGTGGGAAACATAAATGGAGTTCCAAGTTCCTGGCTTCAGACTGACCCAGTCCTGGCTGTTGCAGCCATTTGGATTTGGTAGATGAAACAGTAGATGGAAGATTCTCTCTCTCTCTTTCTCTCTCTTTTTCCTCCTCCCTCCCTCCTTCCCTCTCCTTTTCAAATAAATAATTATTAATAAGTAAAATTATTAAAAAAATAAAAAGAATGAAATCTATTCATTGAACTATGAGTATGAAATCCCACATAAATTAATACCTTTTGGTCCTAGAGACAAACAACCAAATCACATCACTATTCCTCAGGTTTTGCAGAATCTGGTGCCACATATCTTTCCATTCTTCCCCAAAGTGAACATTCTGGTACAATCACACTCCCTTGTCTGAACTCCCACATTCCAATCCTAACTCCTCCAAATCCTATCTATTCTAAAGCCTAGGACAAATTGATAATTGGTTCACCTCACATCACATATGAAAAGGACTAATAGGAATAACATGTCAATGTGCACTCACTCCAGTTAGAGTAAATTGAGCAGTTTTTCTTGCAGGCTGCCAATGATTAAAAAAAAAAAAAAAAAACAGATGGGGTTGATCTATGGCAAGGTGGGTTAAGCTTCCACTTGGATTGCCAGAAACCCCTATCAAAGTGCCAGTTTAAGTCCTGACTGCTCTGCCTCTGATCCAATTTCCTACTAGTATGCCTGGGAAGGCAGCACAAGAAGGCCCAAATACTTGGTCTCCTGTCACCCATGGCAAGACCTGGGTGGAGTTCCTGCTCCTGGCTTCAGCCTGTTTTGGTCATTTGGGGAGGATACCAGTGGATGGAAGGTCTCTCTCCCACTGTGGCTCTGCTTTTCAAGTAGGTAAGTAAGTATATCAATTAATCAATCTTTTTTTAAGTGCCATTGACTCAACCATTTACCCATAATTCTCATTTCACTGAATTCCAGATGAATTTTCTATGATTCTAAAATAAGATGTCATAAAAATTATCATTCTGGAAGGGTTCCAAGACAGCAGAATATTGACAGGATGGTCCGAATCATGTGGGGGAAAATTAATATTTAAAATGGGGAGAAAATACACGCCTGTGATAAAACTGTGGGAAAACTACAATGGGAAACCCAGCAAGAACAGCAGAGATGGTCTGGGTTTGCACTGAAAGAACAAATAGGGGGGAAACAAAGGAAAAAACAGCAGAGATTTGGACCTGGGGAGGAGACCGGCGGCCCCGGAAGACCAGGGGTATCTGCGGCTATGAGGAAAAGGGTGGTTCTCACAAACAGAGGTGAACATACTCCTCCATCCAGATAACAAGAAAACATACCAGGGGACTCCAATTTAATCCCATCAAGGTGGCTTGTACCAATGCCATCTCACTAGTCCAAGTGATCAATTTCAGTTCACAATTGATCATAATGAAAGGACTAAGAGTCAAAGGAAGCACATAAACAAGTCTAGTACCTGCTAATACTAACCAATAGAATAAATAAAGGGGAGAGTGATCCAACATGGGAAGCGAGATACTCAGCAGACTCATAGAATGGCGGATGTCCTAAACAGCACTCTGGCCTCAGAATCAGCCCTAAAGGCATTCCGATCTGGCTGAAAAGCCCATGAGAGTATTTCAGGCATGGAAAGCCAAAACAGTCAGGCAAAAAAAAAAAAAAAAAAAAAAATCCCATCCCTAAATGAAGATCTCTGTGGAGTGAGATCCCAGTGGAAAGAACAAGGTCTTCAAAGAAGGAGGTACCTTTCTCTGAAGGGAGGAGAGAACCTCCACTTTGACTATGACCTTGTCTGAACAAGATAAGAGTCGGAGAACTCAAGGGGCTTCCATAGCCTTGGAAACTCATGACTGGAGCATAGGGAGATTACTGATGCCATAAACAAGAGTGTCAAATTGCTAAGTCAACAACAGGAGTCACTGTGCACTTACTCCTCATGTAGGATCTCTGTCCTTAATGTGCTGTACATTGAGACTTAATGCTATAACGAGTACTCAAACAGTATATTTCACTTTGTGTTTCTATGGGGGTGCAAACTGTTGAAAGCTTTACTTAATGTATACTAAACTGATCTTCTGTAGAAAAAAAAAAAAAGAAGAAATTATCAATTGCCAACTTGACTCTCACTGGGATTAAACATGACAATAGGTCTGATCTGATTTCATCATCATTTAAAAAATCATCTATTATTTTTCACTTTATGTTTGTGTGGGAGCAAACTGTTGAAATGTTTACTTAATGTATGCTAAACTGATCTTCTGTATATAAAGAGAATCGAAAATGAATCCTCATGTGAATGGAAGGGGAGAGGGAGTGGGAAAGGGGAGGGATGCGGGTGGGAGGGACGCTATGGGGGGGAAGCCATTGTAATCCATAAGCCGTACTTTGGAAATTAATATTCATTAAATAAAAGTTAAAAAAATAAAAAATAAAAAATAAAAAAAGCAATAATACAAACAGCAAAGAGTTGGTTTTTCGAAAAAAAATAGACAAAATTGACACACCATTGGCCCAAAAAAAGGAGAAGACCCAAATTAATAAAATCAGAAATGAAGAAGTAAATGTAAAAATAGATACCACAGAAATAAAAAGAAACACCAGCAATTACTACAAAGAGCAGTACACCAACAAAACGGGATGCCTAGAAGAAACTGATAGACTCATGTACACATATGACCTACCAAAATCCATCAATGTGATACATCACATTAAAAAATTGAAGAACAAATTCCATATGATTATCTCAATAGATGCAGAGAAAGCATTTGACAAAATACAACACGCTTTCATGATGAGAA